ACTGAGGATTCCACCACATGGACATCCTTCTCAGCAGGTGCAGGTGGGGAGTCAGTGTGGAAAGGAGGGAATGGTACAGGCTGGGGAGTAGGTCCAGGGGTAGGAGAACGGTCGACAGACATAGGTGAGGGGGTAGTATTCAAAGCGGGATAGGGTAACTGTGTATCACCAGGGGGTATAGAGAAAACAATCTCAATAGAAGTATCGGCTACAAGATGGGTCAACCAAGAGCCTTCACTTTCTTGTCCATAGCTGAGGCGAGCGAAGCCACGAAATATACTCTGCTGGGCCGTGGCGTCACACACCCACATGTCTTCCTCAGAGGGAATGATTAGCATCTGTGCACTGTTTCTGGCCATCTAAACATATAGAAAGAACACAAACAACAACGAACCAAGGGGTGAGTTCTCCAAATACAAACAACAAGCAATTGCCATGCCCCAAGGAAGGCAGCATCTCAGACATAATCAATTTCAGTCACCACAGCAAGTACTATTTCTAGGATATTCAAGACATGACCACATATGATGTACATGAAACAACATAGATTTATTTCGAAGAGTCTCAATCACGATCATGCACAATCAATTCATTTTCTAAAGGTAATGCAAATGATACATGATGCAAGTTTCAGCCTCACAGAGGTTGCCGCTCATGTTTCAATCATATGCACATGGAATGCATGGGGATCTCATCCTCTATGACTGGCGACTCCCCCAGTTGTACCATAGAGTTAGACAATTCGAGTCGGAAAGGCGATCGGAGGACTTCATTCCCTGCATCGTTCTGCACAACAGTATAAAATTTATACATATATCGGATGCGCTCAACATCAAAGAACACCAATGGTATTTGGCCCCTTAGTGGGTCTCTTCGGGAATGGACCTCGACGACCATAGAATGCGCGGTCCTTGTCGGGTTTGGCTAAGGTCTGCAGGTGGGTCATGACTCGGCTGCAGGCGCGCCTCTTACCTGTTACCACTTGAGTCTCCAGATCCCCTTTCACCACCCCCAATAGGTCAACCATGGGATCGAACCTACCATACCTTCAAGTTGTGCGTTTGTAATTGCCTTCGAGTCATTTCACACAATGACATGATGCATGAAGTGACATCCTCAATTTTATTCAATAGTTTTCTCATTTCAAAAGAATTAAGCACAACAACCCAGCATCGTATGGAAAGAATATAACGATGCAAGTTTCCAGTCAAACGACTTAGAGACATGGATAGATTCCATGGTTTCAAACATCTTTGTGGATAGGTTCCACCTAATCTTTTGTTTTAAGTATGTTTCCTCACATGAATACAAACTACCTATTCTCTCGGCTTCCCATTTTAATGTTGAAGTTTGGACTTAACTTAGTTACTTCTAATCCTTTACACGTTCTAAACCTTCTTACCACACACTCCTAGTATTCTCTCTTGGTTTTCTTTCTTTTCTTACAAGTTATCCACACCATTTACCTCCTTACACTCTCGGTTCCTTACTTGCCACAAGCCATCCATTTACCAAGCCACAAGTTCATTTTGGATTACAAAATCCCAAGAGTAACTTAACTTATCAACATCATAAATCTAGAGTCAAAGGTTGCACCATATTTATTTCATCAAATTCTTGTCTTATTAGAATACCATGATGCATGAACACTCCAAATTGATTAACACATCACCAATCCATCACAAGGGCATATCATTCATCAATTTCCAACCACATATATTTTCATGTTTTGGGTCTTTCATGCGTTCATGCTTCACGTTTGTCCATTCAAAATCACACACACAAGTAGTGACGCACATTACACACCATTCACACATTTTTCAGCACCTAGATCATAGGCAATTCAACATTTTCACACACACCTATTCACGGCCAAACTCATGAGCATATAACCAACATTCACATGGGGCTACCCTTAGAGTTATAAGCACTTCCACATATTCATTCACACATTCCAGCGCCATTTTTCTTAAGGTAAAAATAAATTGAAACCTTTTCTTTTTAACAAAAAGTCTTAATTTGAACTAAGGCGTATCAAGGCAATTTTTCCAAACCTTAGGGGTTACTTTAACAAGTTTTTAAAGGTAAAACTAAGGCTGTCCAAATAATTTTCAGCAAGGAATTTCACCACACTTTTACTCTTTGTTTAAAATGATTTTTCCTACCATTTCTTTTTATGAAACTTTGTTCTTGAACACTTTTCCAATTCTGTCCAGCGCCTTATCTCAATGATTTCCAAAGTTCTCGACACATGTACTTTTGGAAACAACAAGCACACTTTCCCTTAAACTCACATAATATTTCCCCAATGTCACCACATCAAATTTCACAAAGGAAACACTCTTTTTATGTCAAAGTCCCAAACTGTCCAGCCCCTAAACTCATCCAATTTCCTTTAATTTTCTACCATTACGCCCTCTTAAAATGTACATGCAATCGCTTCCTAACATCGTCCAAGTGTCAAGGGTCACACAAGCTGAAATTCTTAGAGAAACCACAAACATTCAACATGTTAAGGTAGAAATGCCTTTGTACAAGATTTTGGACTTTTAACTAGCAAAAACCGAGGCCAAACACAAGGAAATTTCACATGCAATGGTCAAAATAAGAACTTTCAAGGAGGTTGATGCATGCAAGGCCAAAGATCAAAGCTTTTAGATTAACAAATCAACATGCAAGAGTGGATTTTTTGTACACACACTCACGGCTCAACATTTCAAGCAAAAAGGAATTTGAATACATTTTTCAGCAAAGGGTTGAACAAAATCGAGGCAGCATACAAGTTAAAATTGACATGCAAGCTTAAAAATGGAAACTTTTAAGATGGTTGACGTATACAAAGTTAAAGATTGAAATTTTAAAACCATAAACAACATGCAAGGGATAAATCTTGGTGCACACACTCACTGTCCATCACTTTAACACAAGAGGAACAATTTAAATAGAAGTCCAGCAAGGGACAATTGAAAACTAAGGCAAGTGATAAGGCCAAATAAACATGTAATGCTTAAAAATGAGAACTTTGAAGGAGTAACACACATGCAAGAACAAAATTTAAGGTTTCAAGCAAGAAAGGTCTCGAAATCAACATGCATGGAACTCATTCACAATACAAAGAGATTTTCAAGGAGCAAAACATTTATTTTTCATAGAGAAATCACGAAAATAGCCAAGGGTAAGCAAATAGACAAGAAAAGAGTGAGAACTCCCCCTTGCCTTAAGTGGAGCACGAAAATGAAGAGAGGAAGGTAGCTTGAGCTTGAACTCTCCAAACGCAAGGTTGGATCCGAGAAGGAGTTGCTTCAAGAGCTTCAAAATCTTCCACTAAAATATCCTTTGAAACCATCAAACTCAAGGGAATAAGAAGGAGAATACTTGGACAAAACTCCAAAAGGTTTGAACGAAAAAAAGAAAGAGAGAAAGGGCTATGAGTTTCTCAGTTACCTTGAGAGAATGAGTGAAAAATGGATGAAATCAGAAGTGTTGATCCTCTTGGTTTGCTTGAAATGAACAAAGGAAGGGTGGGAGGATTTTGAGTAGAGCTTGAGAGCTTACAAGCTCTCGATTTTTTTTGAAGAATAAGGGGAAAATGAGAGTGTTTGAGTGAAAAGTGGTGGAGTTTTGGGACTTGAGGGCTCTCGGTCTTGTTTGGGCAATTTGAGAGAAAAAGATAGTGTTGGAAAGGTAAGGCTTCACGGTTGCATGCAAGAGAATGAGAGAATGAGATTGTGTGTGATGATGGAATGGTTGAGTGAAGAGAGTGAGATGGGAGGGGTGCTTCTCGGTTTGGGAGAAAGGAGAGTGAATTAGAGGAGATTTTTGTGAGTAAGTGTCTTGGTGTGTGGGTGGCCAACCAAGGTAGTTACCTTGCTGATTTTGGTTTGGTGTTTATCAAATTTTGCATGTTTTCCATAAGACAATGAGTGATGTGAAGGGAGAGTGATTCAAAAGAGTTGGTTGGCACAAAATTTTAAATGAAATAGTAACCTAGGACTTTGTAATTTTTGAAAACATCCACACGGTTCCTATTACCCCCAAAAGCAAGGAAAAATATAGTAATTTTGTGTACAAAATGGTGAAAGGTGTGCACGGTTCCAATAGCATGAAAAAGAAAGGGATTTGTTCCAAAAGTGACACAAAACTCAAGTGAAATAGTAACTTAGGGTCTTAAAATCCTTGAAACTACTCACACGGTTCTTCGCATTCAAAAGCAAGGAGAAATGTGTTGATTTTGTGTGCAACATAGTAAAAATCATGCGCGGTTCCAATGGTACGAGAAGGAATGAAAAAGAAAGAAATGTGTTCTAAGAAAGTGGCACAAAATAGTTGTTTTAAAGCTTTGTAAAAAATTGAAAGTGTGCACATGGTTTTTTTTTTTTTTTGCAAGTCAAACTAGGGTGGAACAAACAAATTCGGCAAGAAATAAGTGTGAGATTGTCGGCTACCAAAAATGGAAATCGGCTAAGGTTGGTACAATGTCTCGTACACGAATCGAGGGTCCAAACTTTTAGGTTGCACGAATTTTGATAGGAAGTAAGTTTGCATGAAATATGATTGGCCGTAATAAATGCGACGAGACTTGGTGCAATTTTCGGAAAAGATAAAATTTATGATGGCGGCTTCTCGAAAAACACCAAAGGAGGTTCAAAATTCAAGGCGTCCTCGAATCGGAAAACGAGGATACTTGCATGAAATGTAATTGGCCGGAATTAGATTTTGGAAGATTCGGGTAATCACGATGTTCTCGCTTTAGGGAACAAAATCGGGTGCATGAATTTTGATTGGTCGGCACTAAATCCGAGGAGGTCTAATGCATTAATTGTGACGGCTAAGTAATGATTAAAGCAAAAAGGTGTAATAATTGCGGCGGCTAAGCAATCATTACTAAATCTCAGAAATGATTAATGAATCTCACGTCTTTTTAGGCAAAAAGTGACTTTTTGGAAAAGTAAAAAGTAAAGATACTTTTTGGCACAATTTTGGAGGCATTTTCTCGAAATTCACAACGGAACAAGATTAGGGATTTTTGGACGATGTCGGGACCGAGTATCATGTCTACTATAACTCTGACTCACTAACCACCTGCAAGACACACATATAAATTTAAATCATGGTAACACAAGTTTGAAAAGTAATTCATAAATTACACATACAATAATTCAAGACATACCGTGCACCGTAAGGAATATCTGGTCGTGTGTGGACAAGATTATTAGGCTGTAAAAATGGAAACCTATCCCATGCCCACATCATAAGTAGTGGGGTTAATCCTCCAATACCAGAACACTTAATATTGGTCGACATGCATAACTTTTGGTATAGAAATGCCAATGCTGCAGCTCCCCCACTGTACTCTCCTGTGATAGTAAAATCCTCAAGCAATGGAAGGTACCTAACCGGGACCTACTAGAGGAATGATCAGCCAACATGAAATCACCTATTAATCTCAGAATATAAGCTCTAGCAAAGCGAGTAAGCTGAAGTTCATTATGATTATGCATTGCAACATGTGTAAAGTGTTGGTCCAACCAACTCAACTTCAAACCGCTCCCCATAAATGCATCATCAAGTGGCCTAATACCAAGCAAGTCCTCCATAATTTGTGCCTTATTACCTCTTACAGCTGCAATGACTGCCTTTCCATCTATACGAAGCCCTATTTGAATAGCAATGTCCTGAAAAGTTATAGTATACTCTCCAGGAACCATGTGGAAGGTATGAGTCTCTAGCCTCCATCTTTCTACCAAAGCTGTAATAAGATGTCGGTCAATAGGAAAGCATGCCAACTGAACTACTCCAGCAAATCCAGCTAAGGTAAGATGAGAAATTATCTCCACTGGAACCCCTTCCATGCCAGCCAGTATGAAATGACTCCTTCTTACCTTCAGAATTAGGTGGTCACATCCATCCTAAATATGCTCTGATACGTGAACAGACTGATACCTCAATAATGAACCATCCTTCAGGCTAGGATTTAAAACCCTACTCCGCGATGAAGATAATGTCATCTGAAATTAAATTTGTCAACTTAAACTTAAATTATGTACATTCAAATTAATAAATTAAAAATTCTATTCAGTTTATCATTTTATTATTCATTATTAGTACATGGGTTTTATTACAATTATTTCACTCTAACAATTTCAATATTTAAAATTAACCTAAAATATTATTTTATTTAATTATTATATTATTTATTTGTATTAACAATTTAACAACTTTTAAATATTTAATTATTTTTATTTAATTATTTATTTATTTAAGAATAAAATGCATGTTAAAACCAAATTTAATTATTTATTTGTTTAAAAATAAAATACATGTTAAAACCAAATTTATACCTTATATCTAAAATCCTTTGAACTAAATTAGATAAATTATAAAATTTTTGAAAAATAATAATGTATTATTTTTTAGCAAATTAATTACTACATTCTTACTTAAAATAAAACTTCTGTTTTGTTAATTTTCATAAAATCATTATTTTCTTAATTTATTATATTTATTCAATAATTATTTTGTTTCTTAAATCATAATTTTTTTTAAATATGCAATGTTTTAAATAAATTTGATGACATAATTATTATATTTTATTGATAATTTTTTTATGAATATAATATTCTAAATATGTTTATAATTTTTTTCTTTTCATATTTTATCTATTCTATAATGTAATTGTATATGTTCTTTTAATAAAAATATTGTATTTACTATATCTAATATTTTTTATTTCACTAATTTTTTTATATATCAATCTACTGTTAAAATATGAAAATTTATTACTTCTTCTACATTAATTATTTAATATTTTCACTACATTCTATATATATTTTTTCTTTATTTTTTTCTAAACTATATATTTATATATATTATTCTTTCCTCTTAATTTATCAAGTTATGATAATAGAATTTTTTTATTTAATAATTAATACATATTATGAATTACTATAATTTTTATTTATTACATTTTTAAACAACTAATTATAAATAATAACATATCTATTATATAATTTCTAATACAATTTATCTAAAATTTTATTTGTTACAAAATAAATAAATAAATTTATAAAATATTTAAAAACTAAAATTAATTTGTGCACCTCTGTAGCTTTGATATGGATTTGAAGGAACCCTTTTCTTCACAAGCTCCACTCACTCACGAGCCAACCACTCACCCACAATCACATGCACCACAATCTCAATATTACATACATGCAATTTCATATTTAAAAAGCAAAATATATTCAAAATATTTGTCTCATTACCTTTTAATAATTTTTTGCTCAAAAATCTTAATAAACGTTGTATTTTTTTCAGCAACGACAAACCTCTACAAATGCGAAACGGAGAAGATGAAGGAGAAAGGGAAGAAAGGAAGAAGCCTGCGTTCAAACGGTCAAACTTTTCTGTCACGTGGACCAATGAAAGGAATGTCATCCTTGACCCAGACGACTGTCTTGAATCGTCCTTGATCTCACCGACACTGACGTCGGCTCTGACCCAGAAGATTCTCTAGGATTTATACACGTGGCTTTGTTCTTCTCCACCCGTCGATTCATTTTTAATTTTTAAATTTTTAAATTTTTTAATTTTTGTTTTCCTTTATTTGGTACAACACGTGTGTTGTCTGTTAATTGGACAATTTTGCTTTTTGGTGTCGTTCCTGTTCTAGACGACTCTCTTGCCACATCACCCGTCAACCCCAGAATGGAAATTTGTTTCCATAAAACCCTATTTTGATAATTTTTTTTTCAAATTAACCCCAAAAGGGCAAAAAAAGCCGATTATTTCAGAGTGACGAAATATGAGGGATGATTAAAAATGTAAAAAAGATTGGGAAACTAACCAAAGCATACTTATAAAGGTTTTATGTTCTAGTTTTTATTTATCAGTGGCAGACCCGTTTGAATCCACTTGCTAAACTCACAACTAGTTCAACCCGTTATCCGCTAAATTCAAGAGAAAATTCAGACAGAAGCAGTCTTAAATTTTTATCTAGTCAATTCTTTCGATTTTGAATTTTGGAGTCTAAACTCATCCAAATCCGTCCATTGCCCAGTCCTACACACTATGACACAATAAGTATAGAACGTAAATAATGCATACATGATGCAAAGAGAGCACAACTTACACAAAGGGGATGCCAAGTATGGACATAGAGAGACCTAGATGCAATATATATTACACATGTCAAGCAGCAAAGAAAATTGAATGTGATATAAAAAGAACTAAAAATAACAGGAAGACATATGACAGAAAGAGAACAATAAAACATAGTAGATTAATGGTACTTGTCATCATTAATGCCTTTATGGAGAAGTGGTTCTTAAAGTTTTTGAATTTAGACAAATACACATATCACATATGACATATTTTATGTTTTGAGAACTAGGATTCAAGATTTATTTATCAATGCAGTAGACTAACCCCAACTCACGAGGGATTGATCTAGCCTAATCCATAAATTGGGTGAAATAAATTCTGAAAATTCTATGAACTTAATTGTTTTGAACATAACTCACCAATAAGTTATGTTAGACTGAATTATGAGTTCAAATTTATTTTCAATCTTAAATACAAAGTTTTTCATGTGCAACTATATATTTAATGGCTACAAAATGTAGTTTATAATAACTAAATTGTTGCATTTACTTTTGTCAACAATTTTGGAACACTAACTTAGATAATGGTTATAGTAAAATCACTTTGTAATAGTACACTTAAAAAGCAGTTAGTGTTGAATCAATATCTAATATATATTTTTTAGAACAGTTTATAGAGAACCTTTTTTTTAAGTTTTCTATTGATTACTCTTTAAAATGTGACTTTAGAGAGATGTTATGTATTAAACGCTCTCTAAAGTTAGTCTTGGAGAGTAATTCTCTATTAACTGCTCTTCAAATTTCTATTAATTCTTTTTCTCACAAATTAAAATTTTAAAATGTCTAGATATTTCTAATTTATAAATGAAGTACACTCTAATAATACCTTATGAATCTTTTCATCTTATTTGTATTAACAAAGTTGGTCTCTTTCACTGTAAGCTCTCTTCTTCTTTATTTCGCTAACAAAATTGGTCTTCTCTTTCACATTTGTAGGTTTTCTTCATCTTCTTAGTCTTTTCTGCACAAACAAAGTTGGTCTTTTTCACATCTGTAGATATTTTTCTCACAGTTCTATTCATTCTCTCTTCTTTTCCTTTTCTCTTTATTAACATTGAATAATCCTTTTTTTTTCTCTTCTTATTAGGGTTTGATTCATGCAGATGTAGACAGTTTAATTAACACAACATACAAACTCAAGTTTCAAAGCATTAGACAAAGAACCGATTTTAATTTGTAATAAAAAAAAATTTAAATGTCAAACATACAACTTTAAATTTAAACATAACAATAAATTAATTTTAGTTTGTAATAAAAAACTCACAAATAAAGAAATTTTAAATTTTAGATTTGCAATTCATATACATACTTTGGAGAGTGGTTATATGAACTGCTCTTTAAGTAACATCTACTTTGGATAGTGGTGCTTATCAGATCAGTTTGAACCACTCTCTAAAATGATGTGAAATTGCTTTATAGTGTCTTTTATGTTGTACATGCTTTGGAGAGTGGTTATATGAACCGCTCTTTAAGCACCATCTACTTTGGATAGTGGTACTTATCAGAGCAGTTTGAACATTGTTTCCCTTTTGGGTTGCACACTTGAGACTTTACTTAAGCGATACCGAGCCACTTATCACTCAAACTAACTTCCGTTTATAACATTGTTTCCTTTTGTTTAAGACAATTATTTACAAACACATTTTTAGTTTTAGATTAAACTATTGTACTTAATTACTATGGACACATAAAAAAAAGTATAACCATTAAATATAGGCAACATTTTAATAAATTACAATGGCAACATACTAAAGTATCACATCTATTTATCAAGTGGTATACTTAAAAAGTTGTTACTTTTGAATTATAGATGACTTATTAGCACATTATATTAAAATGTTCACTACTCATAAGTCATAACTCACTTAGCTTTCACTTATATTATAAGTTAATAACCACTATCATTTTAAAAACACAACAATATTTTAATCTTTCAATTATTAGCACATCATCAATTATAAGGTAAACTTCATCCTATGATTTCTCATATTTTCCTTGTCTTTTCTTCTTAGAGGGCATGCAATGGTTCTTCCTATCAGCTTGGACTGAAAATGAGTGTATATTGACAGTTTCCCTAACCACCATAATTCTTCCATATTTTCATTTTTATGTAGTGACAATTCAAAAATCTAGAGCTAAAGATTCATTGTTCTTAAATACAAAATCAGTATGTAGTTTCTTAACAATGGAGACAAAAGTGCACAAAAATTGTACTCATATCTGGCGTGAGATCAAGTATGCAAGCAAGTACAAGAGAAAACATTGAAAGTGAAAAAAATTGAGAGCAAATAGGGGGAAAAAGCAACAATATTAGAAATACTTTAAAAAAATTAATTAGTTTCTTTAGTAAATTTAATGTAATTTATATTAAAAATATACTCTAATGTAAAAATTATGTTCTATTAATAATTTAATTAAAAATATATTCTTATTAATAAAATATATAATTTTTATAAGCAAAGTTAAAGTGAATTGGGTAAATTATATTATATTTAATTCTTAAAATTCACTTAAAAGTATTTTAACAGTCTGAATAATAATTGATCGATTGTATATAACTTTTATAATTTATAATAAAATGATTATTAAAAATTAATATATATATATATATGTGTGTGTCTATATTATTATTTTATTATTAATTTAATGAAATATTTAATTGTATAATATCAAATGTTTAAATTATTATA